TATACTTTGGTATTTTTAATATTTAAAATTTGTACTCCTGTCTAAGTCTTAATTTTAAATACTTTAACATTTAATTGTCAGAATTATAAAAAACAAAGCCAAAGATAACAAAAAATTCTAAACGAAAAGAAATTTTAAAACCAAAACAGCATTTTGTTGAAATAATTTTTCAATTCAATTCAATTCTTTATTCGTGTTAAGTACAAAAAGTTTACTCAAGTCCAAATACAAAGGACAAAATATATAAATAAATTACATTTAAAATTTAAACATTAAAATACTAAAATAAATAACATTATAAAATAGATATACCTAATACAAGCATGGACATACTAATTACTACATATTTTGACAATCACAGCTTAAAAAGTCATCTAAACTATAAAAAGAATTGTTTATTAAAAATTATTTAATTGATGTTTGAATTTTTTTCTTGTTAACATTCTTATTTTTATAGGAATTTTATTGTAGAACATTTGCCCAAAAAAATTTGAACCATTTCTGCTGGCGTAAATTATCGAAAATTTAATGCCACCACGCAGGAGAAAAGATTAACCGGCTAAAAGATATGTTTGAAGTAATATAATCATTATTAACGAGGTACAAGTATTAACGCTTAGTTACCATTGGACAAAATTTAGCATTTCTTTTTGAAAGGACAAACCAAATAATATACAAAAATACATGAGAAATACTATAATAGAAATACTACGCTGGGAATACAAAACAGCAAAATCTAAATTTAGGGTTCCTAGAATTTGCCAACTAAACCCCCAAATTTTTGACGTCAAATTCCGAATAAAAAAAAACTATTTTGTTTAAATGAAAACATTTCCTAATAATAAAGTGTTAGTTTTATTTTAAATTATCGTCACAACAAACAACAATATCAGAAAGTGTCATATTCGATAGCACACACACTCACACCTATATAGGTACGTTTCATAATATTTGTGGCAACCCAAGAATATTCCTTAATTGTGGCACTTTTATTTATATTTATAGCATTTACTTAGCACAGCGTTGTAAGTATATGATTTATAGAGCGTGTGGTAAAAGTTTAAACTCATATATTTTTCGATACACACCGTGGTATAAAAAATATGAAAAAAAATAATTGTGGCGACTGGTTCCACGGTTATGGGCTTACGTGCAATATGTGTATTACACATTGTGTAAAGTTGTCAGAAATATGTTCTCACCTGAAAAGTCTAAACAAGACTTTGCCAGAATTCAGGAATGACTAACAGAGTGTAAATTGCGGTGTTGCCAAACTTTATCGTTATAATCTTGATTAAAAGATTAAAAGCTTAGCGAGACCGAAATCACTAGGCAAATGAATAGGACAATGCAAGAAGGAAAAAACGAAGCAAAAATATCAGATTAAACAGAAAAAAATCATCAACAGGAAAGAAATGTAAAAAAAAAATAATTATAAATACATTTTGGTTCCCATTTCTCACAAAATTCGTTATTCGATGAGAAAATATTTTTATAAAAATGCTTGGAGACTTAAACTTTAGTTTTTTATTTAAAATATTATAATTATAATTTTAAATTGTTTGCACCACAATTTTCCCCATACTAAATTATGCACATTTAGCTTAACATAATATGAACATAACAACCCCACTTTTTTAATTTTATTAAAAAATGTTCAAGATCTAAAAAAAATATTTCAAGTACCTATTAAATTTGGTTTTACTCCACTTATTACGTCACTTGTACCAAAATAAAGGAAATTACTTTTTTTGAGTAAAAATATATGGAGTGTTCTGTTAAAGCAGGTCTAAAATTCTTAATATGGAATGGTTACAAAATGTTGTCGGTTAATGACTGCGCTGGTTTGACACTTCGACTTGGACTGATTTTTGCAAAATCCTTAAGAGTAGAGATAATGCTATTTTTGTTACTTCTTAAGAAAAAATACCGATACTTAGGTACCTATCCAAATTTAAATTCTTATTTGTTATTATAATTTTTATACAATTTTCATAATGTTAATAATAATTTAAATATGCACTGTTTAAAATATCTGTGGTGTAAAAAGTAATCTTAAAATGGTGTCAAAATCCAACACCAAGTGGTGTTAATATAACTCCATGAATTATGGTTGAAAATGTTATATACAGCAAACACCAAAACGGTGTTTATCTTAAAATATTTGAGAAGTGCACCTACACAGAAAAAAAGGAATAGTTCATTTAACTATATTAATTTAGTTGACCTATAAGTATTTATTTTTGTATTTTTTTATTTTTATCAACTGTGGGAAGGTTAATATAAACAAAGATTAGTCTGACGGTACTAAACCAGATATATCTGGTTATTTTATTTTATTTAAATTGGTTAAATTAACCTAGAAAACTTTAGTGAAACCAACCCGCTGTATGGTTCACTTTACTAAATATGGTGTTTGTAAAATAAGAGTTGCTTCAACCTAAAGCAATCTGTTAAAACGATTAAAACAATTTGCCGTGCATTCCCGGTTGCATAGTGTGTACCGATCGCGGCAAAGGCGGTGTGGATCACGTGATGTTCTTAAATCTCGCCTCTGTTGACTTACATGAAGAATATATAAGCTCAGGTAGTCCTTTGCTTTGGTGTGACACTACAAGTTGTTCGATACTAAAAAGACCTTAAATAGGTGGAAACAGCTGTCAATACTTGTATTTTAAGTTAGTGGAACGCACTAAAAACATTATCTCTAGCGAGTTGAAGGTTGCATTTTCTGGAATAATACCACTGGTAATATACTAGTAATGCGTCAAGGAACTTCCTGTTTCCTGTTTTTCCTTTTTTCTGTGTAGTATGTAAAATTTATTTTAATACTGTGTGAAAGTTAAATTAACACCATTTTAGTATTTGAATTTACACCGGACCAATGAACCATATTTAACACTATTTTGGTTTGTATCGATATAGACCATGTTTGGTGTTAATTTGGTGTTAAAATGGTCATGAACAGTGTAATACTATAACAAAATCATGGCTAATTCGTCGTTGAAAATACGTATCTAATTTTTACGGCAGCGATTTAAAAAAAAAATTACTTAACCATTTGAAACATTTAAAAAACGCTTATTATAATTTGATAATATTTATAATTAAATGTTTTCTAACAGGTAGTAACTTTTTTTTATACTCCTATTACATATTATTGACATATTTGTTTTTTTTTCGTAAATAATAGTAACCAATTTAACCGCCCGACCTAACAACGGGAATATTGAACTCATTATTGACTTTGTTAGGCATCAGTGATTGGCTGATTTCAATATTCACTGTTATTTTAACGAGGGGCGACTGTAAGGATCTTTAAAATCGGGCAAAAGTGAGGTTATAATAAATGTTGTTATCAATGAAAATTACTTAATTGGAGTAGAAAAAGCATAGTTTTACACTCGAAATAATGCGCAATATTTACTCGAATCATTTACGTCTCTCGCCTAACGGCTCGAGATGCAAACCTCATCCTTGTGAATAATATCCTGCATTATCTCTCGTATAATAATATACCATTAAATCGCTCTCCAAAAAAATTGTTTAATAATGCCTTTACATATTTTCAACGACAAAAGGTACTAATTATAACAAATTCAATTATTAGTATACTATTCAACACGCAAAAAAATGCCTACTGAATTAACAGAAAGTTTTCTTTCGAGCGTATAATGTCTCAAATCCAGAGTAGGTACATAATTATTGAAACCATTTTCTTTTTTGTAAAAAAAAATTAAATGGATTTAATTATTTTTCTGCTTTCCTCTAATAGGTATACCTATAGTTGTGCAGTATTATTATAGCTATAATAGCTTCGTCTATCGCCTTTTTAAGGGTTAAAAAAGTATACAAATAAAGACAATAATTAAATTTTAAATGTATATAAATAAAACTTGTCTCTGTAAAATATTATAAAATATATATATTTTATAATATTTTACAAGTTTTATTAATATACATTTAAAATTTAATTATTGTCTTTATTTGTATACTTTTTTAACCCTTAAAAAGGCGATAGACGAAGCTATTATAGCTATAATAATACTGCCCAACTATGGAGAAAGGCAGTAACTGCTAAACAAGAAATCTGTGGAAAATTGGTATAAACTAAATTTTTATAAAAATCAGTAGATATTTAATTGATTTATTTAACTTATGAGATAGTTTACTGCATTTCTTATAACTATAGTTGAATTAAGATACAAAATGTCCATAACTTTATGATAGCACAAGAAAACGCATTAAGAATTATTTTGTAGCTACTGCCTTTCTCCATAGTAGGGCAGTATAGGGGACATTACTTCAAAAGCGCTTATTTTATTACTCATATTTTTCATATTTTTTTAAGAGAAGACAATTAATTAAATGCATAGTTTATATAGGTTTTTTAATTTTCTAGAAGAACCTTCATATTTACATACCTACATATCGCTTATTCGAAACAACAATGACACAACTCAAAAATCGTAGTTTTGAGAAAACGCATTTTAAATTTCTTATTACTGTTTTCCATTTATGAAGCCCTGTAAAAACCTATAAAAGCTTGACTCAAATATTTTTTGTTTAGGCATTCTCTCTAAAAAACAGTAATAAGAAATTTAAAATGCGTTTTCTCAAAAACTGTTAGTTTTGAGTTGTGTCATTGTTGTTTCGAATTATATTATATATAATTTTGAAATATAGGTAGGTAATAAAATAAAATAATATTCATAAAATTATATTCAACAATGTGGAAGTAAGTAGTTTAATATTAAATGTATGCAATATAAAATTAGACTTGTTTATGGGTTTTAAAGTATACTAAATCTAAATTAAAAACATTAAGTAAATATATATATGGCTTTGTGAAAGTAAAATTATTGTTTTTAAGGATATTTTAAAGTTTTCAAAATTTTAAAAGATTTGTTGTTTTATTGCAAAAATTGCAGTAACAACTTTATTTTAACATTAAATAGCCTTGTTTGTACAATGTTTAAATGAATTGTATATCTTCATACCTTTTATGTTTAGTCAATTTTCACAACAGGCACTTAAATTTAAATTCGCGAAAAACATTTAATCTTTTGAACGTTTCGGAGCGACAGGTGGTTTTTAGATGGTGTGTTCTAGGCGAACCAGAGGAAAGACCGCGCGATACTAATTCCGAAGCTTTCCAGCTTTCCAAAGCCGAATGAACGTTACAGCGCTTGCGCCACATTTTCTTTTAGACCAAACGAAAAGCATAATTTTTTTTAAAACGTCTACTTTTTTATTATTTTTTTGATGTATTTATTTTGAACACGTTTTAACAACGTAATGCTGCATACTTACCAGTATTTCTTGTGATGTAAAATATATTTTGACAAATAGTTAATTTTGTTGACTAATTATAATTACCTTTGTTTATATATATTTTTTTAATTTTATTTACATTAAATAACATTTTCTACTCCTATTGTATATTATTGACATTAATTGGTTTTTTTCGTAAATAATTGTAACCAATATAACTGCCCTACCTAACAACGTGAATAATAAACTCAATATTCACGTTGTTAGGCATCAGTGATGGCTGATTTTAATGTTCACTGTTATTTAAACCAATCGGGTTTTAAATTGGAAATAGTAAAGTTAACATATTTGAGATTTTTTCTATATACGAAGGGCCACTATAATGATTTAAAATCGGGAGAAAGTGAGATTATAATACATTTTGTTATAATAAAAGTATCCTAATTGAAGTAGGAAAAGCGTAGTATTACACTCGAAATAATGCGCATTATTCACATGAATGATTTAGGTCCCTCGCCTAACGGCTCGAGGCACAAACCTCATCCTCGTTAATAATAGCCTGCATTATCTCTCGTATAATAATATACTATTATATGATCGATAGCACATCCCAGACTGCAATGAAGGTTCGAAAATATTCCAGGAATATTCCCTATCGCCCAGGAATAACCCGCTTCATTCTAGGAATATTCATTGGAAATATTCCTAGAATGATCCTCTAAAACTTCCAAGCATCATCTAAGAACATTCCCAGTGAATATTCATTAGTTGCTATACCTCTCACCGTTTCTTACGCACGCTTGATAACTATATATATATATATATACCGATAGGTTAATAATATCAGTTGGAGATGATTAGAGTGGGACTGATCTACTCAGTAACTCAATAATGGCTATACTTATAACTTAAGTTCCTGGGTTTAAGAGGCAATAAGAGCTGGGAATAATCCGCAAATTATATCAAGGAATATTCCCCTAACAATCCTTGAGTCTTCTGCAGGCAGATATATGGAATATTCTTTTTATGATGCCTGGGTTAACCAAAAAGCGGACATTTGATTATGCCAGGAATATTCCTGGGAATATTCTTGGGAATATTCCTGACATGTGCAGGAAATGTGATTTTGCGGTCTGGTATAATAACTGAAAATTAAATATTAATTAAAATAAATAAAGTTGCCCATCAAATTGTATTCAGTTAAACGATTTGGTTCATAATAATTTGATACCTATATCCAGTGGCGGAAAAAGGGGCGGATGGGGCCGTCCGCCTTACTCTCCCTGGTCCAGGGGGCCCACAAATATTGGAAAAGTCAGAAATTAATTAATAAGTAACACTTAAGAAATATTATGCTATAAAAAACAAAATACTATTAACTTAAAGCAAATTCAGAAAATCAGAAAAAAGATTTAATAATATAGGTCCACAAAATTGTACAGTAATTACTTATACTTTCCCGAAGGTTTTAATGCTCTGAATTCAAATCCGACCTCAGAATTGCTCCATCACGGTTCTTAAGAAATTCTAACCCAAAGTAGAAAAAAGAAGAATTGTTACATCACAAGGGAATATTTTTCAAAATGTTTTTTAATAATTTCAAAATATTTAAAAAAATGAGCATATGAAAAGTTTTCCAAAATAGTACCATCCTTTTTCTCGCTCTACAGGCTCAGAATAATTATTTTCGATTAAAAGCGTGAACTTGGGAGTCAATATATTTTCAAATAATTTAGAAACATGGGTACCCTATTTCCCCCCTCTGCCTTGTTTTGCCCCCTTTTACCTCCCGTCTGCTAATTGTACCATAAAATTAAAAAAAAAACAGAAAATTTGATGTAAATCAAATTTTGACCTCGAATAACTCTAGAAGAAATTAATTTATCGAAAAATAATAGGAAACCTTTTTTGTAGAGCGTTACATTTTATATAAGAAACTGCAATGATCATTGCTTTAAGTTACTTGATACAGAGGTATAAAATTTCAAACATAAAATTATTTTTTCCCATGTTAATTAAATGGTAAACTAAAATAAAAACAGCGACCTCTTAGAGTTGAGCTGGAACGCCCATATTTGGTGAGGATTTTTTTTATATTAAATAGAAACATTTGCTGTCCTCAAAATATTTAAAAAAACAAAAAGCTGTTAAAAGCAAATGTCGCTATAACCTCGTTATTCCTGAGAATATTGAAAAAAAAATGTAGATAAACCCAAATGTCATATTAAAAGGCATGTAATTGAGCAACTTTTTTAATTTAACCTCTCTTGTAAATTTTTTACCCGCCGAGATAGATTGCTTTTGCATGGCTATTTGGATAGGTATAAAAAAATCATTAATGTTTAATTTCTCATGTTATTTGAAACTCTGTTGAAAGGTAAATGTTTACAAAAAAGTGAAAAAGTGACATGAAACCAATGCTATAAACATCGTAAAAATAGGGTTTCTAAAAGGAAGCAGATGTCCTTGAGGATAAATAATTTAAATTGGAATTTATAAGCAGCTGGAGATAGCAAGGATAATAAGTTAATAATACGGATTACTTTTTAAGTAAAAAATTTGTTGACGCCGTCGAGACAATCTCTATAATTTAAAACTTTGATTAACAGGTTTTATAGGGACTTACTTGTTACTTTTAATTTATGACACTAGGTGTATAAAAACTTTGTCAAAAAGTGTGACGATTGGACAGTGAAAATGGGCTTAAATTATACGTAAAACAGTTTTGATAAGGATTAGTAAAAAAATATATACAGGCTGTCCCAGAATATGCAGGCAATCTCCCGGATTCAAATAAAACACACAAAAATAATAGTTCCTATAAATTTTTTTGACCAACGCCCCCCCCCCCCCGGCGGGTCCATAACGGACGCCCCTGGAAATCGTTTGTTTTTAAATAACTTTTAAAGTACTAGGTGGAATTTAATAATTTTTTAATATGTGGGTTACAAGTTCCTTAAAATTGGCACTTTAAATCACATTCGGCTTATTTAGTTTGGCAGGGACGGACTAGTTCTAACAGGGTAATGCTATTTTTTTAACACCCTGTACGATAAAGGCACAACAATAATATTTTTGATCAGTTTAAACCTAAACCTGAAAAAAGGTACTCTTGATCGACATCGATAAAATGAACTGTTTACGAAAATGTTTTTGTACAATACACTGAGAGAATTCTTGTAGGTTTTCATAAGCAAATACATAGTAGGTACTAGGATTTTTTAAAATGTTTAATTAACCAAACGAAGTTATATTATAGTGAAACAAAGATAGTGGTAATTAAGAAATATTTTGTTTACAAAACTTTTAGATAAATTCGGTTTTGATTATGAGAAATAAATTATTTACTTAAACCTTAAACCCTGTTAAAAATCACCCATAAAAACCAATAGAAAAGCTATTGGGATTTTCCAGCGGTATCTCTATTGGTTTGAATTGGTCTCAATAGTGGTATCTGTACCATGAATCACCAATTCAAACCAATAGCGACACCGCTGGAAAATCCCAATACAGACCGATAGAGACTAATCGAATTTCCCAATAGAGAATTATAGAGGTGAATTAAATGTTAATGGTAATTCCCAATAGAAGAGCTATTTGGATTTTCCAGAGGTACCGCTATTGGTGTGAATTGGTCCCCACTATCCATTTTAGGCGTCTTTAAGGTAAAAAATTACGTGTTTGGATGGTTAAATAATTTCTCAAAAATAGTGCTGTTTAACATTTAATTTAAATTTTATAAATAGCTTCTGCTAAAAGTAAGTAGTGGGGCCCACTGCTTACTTTTCGCAGAGTGTGCCACAGGACGACCTGTGCCCCTTTAAAAATTCCTAAACGCCAAGCGTTTCCATGGCCAGTAATTTTGCCTTAGTAAGGAATCCTTACTTAGCAGCTCAAGGCATTCCACCTTAATAGGCCTACACTGAAAAAATGTATCCTTAGCCGTTACCGAAAAATTGTTAAATAAGTATAGATTGTTACGGTTGAAATAGGTGACAGCAAATGTTTGTGGTATTTATTACCACAACAAAAATGTTTTTAAGTCTTAGTAATGTTAAATGAAATGTCGTGTTACATATTAACCATTAATAGCTTCTTAAGCAGTACTACAACGTTGTGGTATCAAATAGAATTACCGAATTCTGATAGTAACTACTGCATTATAGTAAGTTTGAACATTCTTTAGTCGTTTGAAATATGCTTTAAGTGGGATATATTTAATAACAACGAAATGCCATTAAAAAAAGTAATATTTATTATTTATTAACTTATCAGGGTAATATTTAGTACTTGTATAACCAGTATGTACTAATGTTACGGTATTTAACCAATAATTTTCTTATCTGGTATACTTTACGTTTGGAAGTAGTACTGCTTATAAGCAGTACTACTTCCAAACGTAAAGTGACCAGATTCTGTCAAAAAATAGGGGGACATTTTGTGTTAATTAACCTTTATTACAAAAATGATAAAATTAACAATATTAAAGTAACGTCATCATTGTGTTAATTTTGTAATTAAGGTAAATTTATACAAAATGTCCCCCTATGTTTAGACAGAATCTGGTCACTTTATCCAAACAGAATAAATACTGAATTAAAAAGTTATCGATTATCGTTTTTGGTGTTATGTAAAAGTATGCAGTAAAGGTTATAGGATAAAAGAGAACATGTTTTTCAACAAATTTTTATTAAAAAATATATATAAAATTCTTTGAATAAAATAAATTATATCGCCTCCTTAACTTTTATGATAAACAAAAAAACCTAAACCAACAATAATACAATATATATACTAAATATGAGAAGGTGTAACAATAAAACATTTAATAAAAATATAATAAATAATT